ATTGTGAAATGATTTACCACAATAAAGGTAGTTCTTGGATCCATCACCTTACACGGTTACCGTCCATTGACTCACCTGTGCACACATGGGTGCATGGGCATGTGTGTGTGCGTGTGGTGAGAACATTTAAGATTTACTCTCAGCAGATATACGAGGCAGTATGAGAAACTACAGTCACCATGGTGCCCACTAGAGCCTCAGAACGTGGTCATCTTGCCACTGAACATTTGTCCATTTGATCAACACCCACCCTCCATGTCCCCCGCCACTCTACTGTCATTTCCATGAGTTCTACTTGTCCCCGTTCCATGTGTAGGTGAGATCATACAGTATTTGCCTGTCTGACTTAATTCGGCAAAATGCCCTGCAGGTTCATCCATGAGTCCCCCTCCCACTTCATTTTCTACCTTAGGAACTGTATCCTTAAGATATTCTTTTATCTTCTGGCCAAATCTGACCCCTGACCATTAGAGGACGTTTCTTAAACTGGGAGCAGGTAAATTCCAGGCACATAAGGCAACATTGTGTTTCATGCAACACATTGTAAACTCATAAAATTTATTATCCTGAGGGGGAATGACTGAACTGGGATCATAACCAGCAAAGGCAAAATACTAAAATTTATTGATCAGTGAATGTATTTATGTGTTTACTTGTTCAACAAAAATGTGATCTAGAACAGGCCATCAAATACTTGTATGGTAACTGGGGAGTCCGATCATAAACACTGCACTAAAGTCATCTGGGACAGTATTGAGGGCTGTGTGGAAACTCAAACATGGGGTGGGGGGGGAAGAAATGACCTGTGGGGCATCAGTGAGGGTGTCTTGGGCATGGCTGGTACCTGCAAGGTACAAAGGCTCCTTGTGAGAAATTAAAGAAATGCGAGATGTTTGCGACTGTAATCTTTAAAGTGTTGTTTGAAATCAATCAAAAGTGTTGGCCAGCAATAAATCTGAAACTTCTTTTCAGTCATGTTAGGGCACACAAATGTGCCCTTTTCCCAAGGAGCTAGAGGCAACAGCAAGCAGATGTCCATGCTTGCATCCTATTGTCCCATAATGGGTTCCAGTCTCAGCCCAACCATGTGCCAGAGAGAACACAGGCCAGCCCCTAACCTCGTTCTCATGTCAGTTTTCTGCATGAAGCTGAGAATAACAATAGTTGTGATAATAGCTCTGTCTCTTGGATTGTATTCTCCTGTACATCTTGGAACGATGCCCACCACATACCACCCAGTAACCATTAGCTCCCAGTATGGAATTTTAGCTAGACATAGGAAGACCATGTGAAGATGTGAATCTGGGCTTAAATTCTTCAACTTCTAATTAGAAATAAGGAACTATCAAAATAAGAAAATGTTTATGTTGGACAAAGTCATAAATAAAATGAAAAATATTTTAAATAGGTTCCTATAGATGTAAAAAAAGAATTATACTATTAACTACCCTTTGGTGCTGTGTTTTTTTTTCCTATTTCAATAAAATTGTGGGGGCTTCTAGCTGGCTCATTGGGTGGAGCATGTGATTCTAGATCTCAGGGTTGTGGGGGTCAAGTCCCATATTGGGTGTAGAGGTCATTTAAAATAAAATCCTTAAGGGGTACTGGTGTGGCTCAGTCAGTTAAATGTCTGCCTTTGGCTCAGGTCATGATTCCGGGGTCCTGGGATCGAGTATAGTATCGGGCTCCCTGCTCAGTGGGGAGTCTGCTTTCCCCGCTGCCCCCTCCCTCCTGCCATGCTCTGTCTCTCTCTCCCAAATAAATAAATAAAACCTTTAAAATAAAATGACATTTTTGGGGGCGCCTAGGTGGCTCAGTCGTTAAGCGTCTGCCTTCGGCTCAGGTCTTGATCCCAGGGTCCTGGGATCGAGCCCCGCATCGGGCTCCCTGCTTGGCAGGAAGCCTGCTTCTCCCTCTCCCTCTCCCCGCTGCTTGTGTTCCCTCTCTCGCTGTGTCTCTCTCTGTCAAATAAATAAATAAAATTTTAAAAAATAAATAAATAAATATTCCCTCTCTCGCTGTGTCTCTCTCTGTCAAATAAATAAATAAAATCTTAAAAAAAAATAAATAAAATAAAATGACATTTTTAAAAAATAAATTAAATAAATAAAATAAAATTGTGATCACACAAAACTCTAGTGTGAAATGCAGGAAGGCAGTAATGATTATGATAAAGTTATTGGGTATAAAAATAACCCAAGATGAAACTTACATGGAACTCAACAGCAAATAAGTAAATGAGTAAATATAAAATACCTATAATATTTTCTTTCCATTTCTTTTCCGGGCAGATGAGTTAGAAATCAGTTATGCAGTTCAGTAGCACAGATTTATGATCCAATTCCAGTACAATTTTATTAAACTTCAGGGTTGTTAGGCAAATGTTTTAAAAATCAAGAGGAGAAACTAACCTATATCATATTGAAAAGACGTTAGAGGCAAGAAGAAGAGCAACCAATAAAAAACTGAGAGAAGTAGGTATGTTACATAGACATATATTTATTATTATTATTATATAAAGTTAAAAATGCCCAAACCTAGCAAATAAAAATTACAAGAAAAATTCAAACAGAAATTCAGTCCTGTGATTATGCTCCCATCATCATGCTTGCTCTCCTCATATAATTTATGGCCTGGAAATACTATCACAATTTATTTTATGATTTAAAGCACCAAGTGAAATATGGTTAAATTCTGTATCAGTCTCAGCAAATATGGACTTAAGCACAATGATACAAAAGCATGATATCTTACATGGTAATAATGATATTTGTGAGATGAGTATTTTATAAAAGGAAATCCTGAAAAACTTCAGTCTGGTTAAAGCAGGATAAATTATTTTACAGAAAATTTACACTCATTGAATATCATTAGTGTAAATAGATAGATATTTATCTAGATGTTTCTATGGATGTTAATTTTAGAGATTTTTAGTAACTACTAAACTGGTATTTTAAAATTATATTACTGGAGTCTGGGAATTTATAAAATGCATACATGTAATATGTTTATTAGCATGTAAGTGTCACTTTAAATTACAACACTGATTCTCACATTATTTTCCCCAATACTTAAGGAAATACTCGCTTTTTAAAAGATTTGCTAAAGCACAAATTGTTCCTGATGGCATAATATGTTTGTGCCTGGACCTTAATCTTCTGTCATCATCTTATAAAGTGTCAGGAGAAAAGCAGATAAATCTCAGAGCATAAATTTATTCCTTTACAGTGAGTTTAAGATCAGCCTTCACTTTCTCAAGTATTGCCAATAGGGACCATAGCTAATGTGGTCATTAATTAAGAACATAAAAAAAAAAACAACGTTTAAAGGTGATATTGTAGTTTGGGATTGCTTTTGTTAAAACATATTAAATTGAGAGCTGTTAGGTCCTTTGATTCCAGAAATAAAAATGGTCCGCTAGTAAGATGAAAGTGGTATTCATTTTGGCAGAACTAGGCTGGTGGCCAACCAGGGTGCAGCTCAGAGCCCCCCCCACCCCGCACCGCAAGCGAACTCTGCCATTAGCCTTGCTTCCCTCCTGGCACCTTCTCTGTTGACCTAGCACACCCTCCTCTCGATTCTGACTCTTCCAGGTCAGGGATGGCGAGAATGAGACAAATAAGAGGGAAACTAAATGGGTAGCAGCCAGGTAGGATTAAAACCTCAGGGATGATAACTCTTGCGTCTCTGACCTTTTTCAGGCAAGGAGAAAGCAGCCTGTTTCTCAGTTCTCTCTAAGACAATGCAGGTTATTCCTTCATGCATTCAGTCAACACAGATATATTGTACACCCACGATGTGCCTGCCATGCTAGTGGATTGGTGTTAGATGTAGTCAGGGATAGGACAGAGCAACAACTTTAGGGTATTCCTGATAAATAATTTGTAGCTCAATTGCCCTATATTTGATGCTACCTGAAATATATGAAAAAAGTTCACATTGGTAAGACATCAGAATACTTTTATCATTTCAATCTACTTGTTGCAAAATGATTACCCACTTATTCCACATTTTTTCTGGATTGTGAGTTGTTTTCAAACATTTTTCTTAAGATTCTATTTATTTATTTGAGAGAGAGCAGGAGAGGGGAGGAGAGGGAGAAGAAGACTCCCTGCTGATCATGGAGCCCAACACGGGGCTCGATCTGAGGACCCTGGGATCATGACCTGAGCCAAAGGCAGATGCTTAACCGACCGAGCCACCCAGGCACCCTGAGTTATTTTTATATATCGGGTTCTTTGTAAAGGGTCATTTGTGGACTAGTGACAGGTGCTACATTTCTCATTAAAGGAATGATGATTGAGGGGGTGAGATTCTAACATTTGATGATGAAATATGTTCCTTATGGTATATTTAGTATGGTAGACATCACACACCAGTGTTGATGAGTCACAGGACAGTGATCTCTCCAGCTACATCTTTTCTGTGGGTGAACGACAGCCTGTAACATATGATTAAACTTGGTTTCTCATTGTGGAAATAAGCCCCTCACCCAACGACTGTTTACTTTTCACCCTAAAATTTTAAAACAATTGTATGTTTTTAAACTGAAAGAATATCATTGCTAGTTTTATATTTAAGGAAAAAATCTGTTTTTAGTTGATGTCAGCTTGTCTTATTTCATAAGGTGTTTATAGGTTTGTGTCACTTTGGTGTAGTTGGTGTGTGTGAAGTGTTTGTGAGCGTGAACAGTTGAATTGTTTCATTAAAATTAGCAGAACACAATACTTTAGTGCCTATTAAATCAAGTAAAATGAATTACCAAGACATTGTAATTAAAAGAAATAACAGCAAGTTTACATTATTATGCCAGAAACATCATTATCCGTGTCCTCTGTGGACCTTGGGAGATTAGACTTGCCATTCAGGAATGACTTTCTGATTTAAGCCATTTCCATTGTTTCAGAGAAAAAAAAAGAAAGTATAATAAGTATTTACTCCAGTGCATTTTTTCTGGTGAATAGCCACCAATTAAAAATATATTATTTCTTATCCTCCAGGCAATACGGCTAAAGTGTATATTGAGATTCAGGATGAAAATGATCATCCCCCAGTGTTTCAGAAAAAATTCTACATTGGAGGTGTATCTGAAGATGCAAGGATGTTTACTTCTGTGCTCAGAGTTAAGGTACGAGAAAATTTATTAAGATACGGAGCTAACGTTAAAACAAAGAGCTCAGACTCTGCAGATAAAGTATAACCATGTAGTTTGTACTGACTGAGTACTTATTCATGGTGTTTAAACAAAAGTCTGGAACTCAGATACATGGGTTTAATTAGCCATACTGCAGATTAGTTATGAGGCGAATACTGTGCAACTTTTATGTTTTATTTTTACTACAAAAATAGGAAAAATTACTTATGATAATTTGCACTGAATAAGATATTAAATCATTAAAATGTATGGCTCCCAGTAGATTTGTATGCCTCTTATAGGTTTAATTCAGGAAAACTCCAAAGATTGGTAAAGTGGAGTTTCTAGTGGCAAATATAAAATTACTGTTTTCTAATTGAAGAAATAATGTACTAAATTATTTTTTCTGCAATATTTTTTTAAATTCAAAATCTGAAACATGTAAAACATAACACTAATAATTTTAGCACTTTATTAAAAGTTTAAAAAAACTCAGATATGTGAGAAAAAAATCACAAACCTACTTAGAATTTTTTTTTAAGATTTTATTTATTTGTCAGGGAGTGAGAAAGCACAAGAGTGGGGTGAGGGGCAGAGGGAGAAGCAGACTCCACACTGAGCAAGGAGCCCGATGTGGGACTCGATCCCAGGATCCTGAGATCATGACCTGAGCTGAAGGCAGATGCTTAACCAGCTGAGCCACCCAGGCATCCCAGCATTTTATATTCTTAATTACAGTTATTTTTCTGAAGGTATTTTTAAGAATATTTTTTAAGTAGCATTAATATACACACATAAAACCTAAATTTCCCTGGGCAAATCCAACTGTTGGTTGCCTCTAGTTTCACTCATGATCAGTTAGTTGCCTTTCTTTTCTTGTTACCAGGAGAACCACGATTAGAACTCTTCTTACATATAGCTTTATCATCTTATGCACACGAAGTATGAAAGAGGAAAATGAACAAGCAAATGAACATGTATAATGTGTTTGCAAAACAGCCCCTTCATAGTGCCAAAAACTGACTCCTGATCTGAATCACCACTTAGAACCAAAAGTGGTCCACAAATGTGTCAGTCACATTATATCTAAATCATATTATGGTTTGTAAGTAAGAAGCAACTCCAAAGGAGTTGATTTTTATCCTATTTTACTTCACCCCATGAAGTGTTGATTGATTCAGTTCATTCATCTAGTCAGCAAATTTTTTTGAGTACTCACAGTGCATACTGTTCTTGAAGTTGAACATAGAGCTGTTCAAAAACAAACTAAAAGAGTTACCACCCCAGTACTACAAACTAGTGAAAGAAACAAGTCACTGTTGAATAAAACTGGTAGCTATTTAATACAAAGTCCTGTGGTCAAGACCAAGACTTGTGGATTCCTAGGTCAGGAGCGTGCTGCTCATTCCACTGCTAAGTCCCTAAAGCTAGAGGGAGCTTGGAGGTCTGTGTGGCTGGAAGACTCTTTGGAGATGAGATTGGAAATGTAGCCCAGGATTGGAAATGTAGAATATGGGGTTTACCCTCAATATGTTAGAAAAGAAGTCTTTGAATGGTTTTATTCAGAGCTATGACATAACCCAGTATAAGAGGATTATTCTGGATGTTGTGCAGGGTTAGCATGGGGGTGGTGAACAGTATTCTCAGATGAGGACCCACAGAGTCCCGTGTACTACTTTCCCGGAGAGACGTGGCAGTGGGCTGGACCATGGCGGTCGGCCAAGGAGAGGGTCAGGAGGGAGTCAAAGACAGCCAAGAGGATTTGCTGACATTATATGTGGGGCATGAGAGAAATCAAGAATGACCCTGAGGTCTTGTTCCCCATCCCTCTCCCAGGTACTGCAGTAGCAGAAATCTTGAGTTCATTCTTGGAGATTTTTAATATGGCAAGGCAGTCACAGATGCTGATCTAAATTCAGGGAAGAAATGGTGAGCCAGGATGAAATCACCTAGAATATGGGTGTAGACAGAGAGGTTCTCAGACTAAGCCCTGGCACTCACCACTTGGACATCAGGGAGAGAATCCTTCAGAGGACACTGAGAAGTCGCCGCCGCGAGGGGGCAGGAATGTCAGGAGAACGCAGTCTGCACCCTGTAAAGAGCAGATTGGTAGGAGAGGGAGTGATCAAAAGTCAAATGCTGCAAATTAGATTGCCCGGTGGATCTTCCCCTGACCGTTTATGGTAATGAGAGCATTTGTAGTGGAAAGAAAGAAAAATAAGCCAAACTTGAAAATATCCCATTAATAAAGGGGATTTTTCAAGAGGCCTATAGATCACTGTAGTGAGATACTTGTGAGTGATATAATTTGATGATGACATGTACTTCAGAGGAACTGGGAGAAGGTGGCAAAGGAGGTGGAATGACATTCTAGAAGCCTTCATTCAGACAGAGAGATACCTGCCATCTGTCTGCCCCCAGGTTCTGTGCCTGGTAAAGTATGGGGGCCGCTGTCTGAGACAGCTACAGAAAGCCATGTCTCCTGGGGGCGGGGGGGCGGACAGCATGGGGGCGAGAAATCCGAAAGCAAAGTTAATAGTCTGAGAGAAGGCTGGGTATTAGGGGATATTGGTAATGATGGACCGTGAACTCCAGAGGACCCCTGGGAAAGTCTGGTGGCAGAGGTGAGGTGGGAATCTGGGTCATCCTCGTGTGTAAAGGGCTGTGTGGGCAGGAGTATCTGGGTGGTGACAGGTGCTTTGGGATGAACACGTGGACTTCCTGTGATGAGGTAGAGAGGCTGAGACTGGTCATTTCTCCAGGATGACTGAGAACTCTGAGGGACACCCCACCCTTCGATTTATTGGGGGGTACTCATGCCAGGGAGAGGGGTTCTTTCCAGGAAGCAAGTTTTATGCAGTGTAATATTCCACATGAGGGAAAGAGGAGGAATGGAGAGAGGAGGGGGGAGGGGAGAGTACTTTAACAGTGTATCGATGCAAGTATGTGCTGTAATAATCAATGCTGTTAGGAAAGCACCAGTTGCCACATGGATTCAAAGGAAGGAGACATTTCAGTTGGTGAAAGAACATGAACACTCTCAGAGGGATGAAGAATTTGAGTGGCACTGAAGGGGGTTAGATTTTCTCCCAGGGAAGCTTAAATGAGGCAGAGCCGGAGTGTCTAAGCGGAGGAAACAGGGAGCCAGAAGCCAGAAGGAAGAAGTGCAGAGTGTGTTTGTGGAGCAGTGATTGGAAGCAGGGAGCTCGGGAGGTGATGGGAGTAATAAATCTTAACTGGTGGACACTTGGAAGAGCTGCCTTTAACCTTGATGCCTGGAATCTAAATTTAAATTTAAACCTAAATCTAATTTTTTAAATCACAATTTAAAAAATTGTCTAACGTGTAGGGAGGGGAAGAGGAAACATACTATAGAATTGACTAAGAAAGGTGAGACTTTAAAATATAGGTGGGGGCGCCTGGGTGGCTCAGTCAGTTAAGCTTCTGCCTTCAGCTCGGATCATGATCTCAGGGTCCAGGGATCGAGCCCCGCATTGGGCTCCCTACTCAGCGGGAAGCCTGCTTCGCCCTCTCCCACTCCCCCTGCTTGTGTTTCCTCTCTCACTGTCTCTATCAAATAAATAAATAAAATCTTTAAAACAAAATAAAATATAGGTGAATAAGACTATACTCAACTAGCTTAAAATATGGAGAGTGGATTAAGGGCCATCCTAAAAATATGTGAAGGTAAAGGCAACACAGTGAGAGCATTATTAAAATGAATTCTGCAATATAAGTGATAATAAAAGAAAGTTGTGTATATATGCTCTGAAGCAGCATATCTAATATGTTTAGAGACTGGTTCCAAGTTCCTTTTTTCAGAAAATATATATTGCATTCCTAGCATGTGCTGAAAATAAGGAGGCGAACAAAAAAGACCCTCCCTCTGCCCTTACTGAGTTAACATTCTAGTAACTAGACAAAAGAGTAAGTAAGTCAGTCTTTTATTTACACAGACATGTAGAGATTTGGTTTCTGGCTCAAAAATTTGATTGTTCATGTCACGTTAAAGTACTTCATAGGTTGTGTCAAAAGGACACAGAGCAAAAGTATTAATTTGGGAAAATCTACAACTTTTATTATGGTTTCATGTTGATATCTCTGTCACCACTGGTCCACCAAACTGATTTCCATCGGTCACAAGCAATCAGTTATTTTATTGCAGGGAAAGGGGGAAGAAAATCAATAGGAATTTCTCTCTCCAGTCTTTGAGACAAGAATTAACATCAGTTAAAAGTATCTCCTTTAGTATATACCCAAAAGAATTGAAGGCAGGAATGCAATCAGACACATGAGCGTTGGTAGCAGCATCATTCACAATAGCTAAAAGGCAGCAACAACCTATATATCCATTAGCAGGTGCCTGGATGAACCTGATACGGTGCATACCTGCAGTAGAATAGTATTCAGGCTTACAGAAGAAGGAAATGTTGACCTGCGCTATATCATGCATAAGCCTTGAAGACAATATGCTCAGTGAAATAAGCCAGACACAAAAAGGCAAATGTATAATTCCACTTGTATGAGATTCCGAGACGGCAAAGAGAAGGGTGGTCTGCCAGGGCCAGTGGGGCAGGGGATGGGGAGTTCATGCGTAAGGTTGCAGAGCTCCAATTTGGGAAGACAAAAACCTGCTAGATGGGAATGGCGGTGATGGTCACATGATAATGTGAATGTACTTAAGACAACTGAGGTGTACACTGAAAAATGGTTCAAATGGTAAATTTTATGTGATGGCTATTTTAGCTCAGTGAAGGAAAAATCCCAAAGGGAGAAGGGCATCTCCAATGTTGGCAGAATATGAAAACTGTTACTCTCAAAACTATTATTTCTCAGTGGTACCCATCCCTCTTAGCTTGATGTGAATATGAATCTTACATTCAGCTTCAGAAGTAAAGATTTGTTTTCATCTGTTTATTTTTATTGATTATATAACTGTGGATTTTAACATTTTGTTCTCCAACACATCATCATTGCTCTCAGTATTGGCTGCA